AAAAAATTGACAAGACAATCGTCAAGAGACACAAGAAATCCCCAAAGTAAAACTTTTCGGGCCTACGGGCAGACTTTCACTGGCCGAAGCAAAGGCAAATGTCATACTTCCAAGGTCGTTTTTTGTAGACACGCGGAAGTGTTGCTCTTTTTTGAGAATCTTCCCGTCAAATTGCGGAACGTGTGAAAAATTCCCAATTCCAGTGCTCTTTGCTAGGGAAATGATAGGAAACCATAAAAGATTGTAAGCCCCTTGGTTTAAAGTGTTTTGCTCATGAAAGCATGGTAGTAAAAACGAAAACGGTTGAAAATGCCATTTGGGCTTTCAAGTGAAAGACCGCCAGGATATCTTGTCAGCCCTCAGCCCGAACAGTTTTTTACAATTCTCTGAAAAATATTCACAATCCTGTCACTGTGTTATGCCGTTAATGCTTTTAGAAGACTTTAAAACAGTATTTTGCAGTGAGCTATCTGCAGATAGCACGTTATTAGTGTTGCCCGTTTTTGAGAATCCCTGCGTCAAATAGCAGAATCATGTGAAAAATTCAAATTTCCAGGACTCTTTGCTAGAAAAAAGACGAGAAACTATGAAAGATTGTAAGCCCCTTCGTTCAAATTGTTTTGCTGAAGAAAGCATGCTAGTAAATTTGTGATTAAAACAAAGAAGAAGAAATTCTGTATTGGTTTTCTGGAGAATTATTTTTAATCTCTTTTTCATAAAGAGCAAGGTAAAACAATATTTATCTATTATTATGTCTATTCAATAATATATACATTCGGTATATATGAATAGCAACTATACTATATGAATATAAGGCATTGTCATTACATTCCTTACAAACAAAACACCTGTGAATCAAAGGAAGAAAAAAAGGGGTTCAGAGGCATCTTGGCGATCAAATTCTAGGACGGTCCTAAGAGCTAAATTATCCGACATATTTTTGTTTTTGAGTACGCGAATTAACAAATAGCTGGTGGAAGCCTATTGTTTGGGAGATTTTTAGCTGCATGAAATATGGCTGCAACACCACATAAGGCATTCTTATTTGGAGGATTTACATCAGCAACATTTATTAATAATTTGTCCACCTTAATGTTAAGAAGTTTATGGGCGTATTCTTCGAGTGATACGTGACTATGGTGATATCTGACTTCATTGTTGCTGTCATATCCCTGCGTATTTATAAATTCCCGACAATGACTGCAGTCTGGACAGTTGGCGGTTCCTTCTTCTGATTATATCCATTGCTGCGTCGCAGATCGCTGCTGTGACTGGGTCTCAAGAGGAAAGATTCAACTTATCGTGCTCAGTCAACTTTAGTACACCTAGCCACCTTATTTGTAAGGAGGGGACACTACTAGGGAAGCTGTTTTCGGTTTTGTTTGACTCCTCTGAATTTCTTTTCCCTTCGTAATCTAAATCACTTTGTTAGTCCATAATCTTTACATCAAGTAAACCCTCGCTTGTCTCTACAGTGATCGGATCTTCTGTGGCCTTTCTTTGCAAAGCGTATGGTAACAGAATGAGAGACAAGTCTATCAGGGCAGACACCAGGAGACAAAAGCTCGTTTTGTAAACCTACACAAAATTCTTCATTTTCGGTTCTACTTTTCATAGTTCTCAAAGTTCGCGCAAACACATGGAGATAAAGACTGTGTTGTTGCATCTCTTTCCAGCCCCTTTCATCATTCCTGAAGTCGCCATTTCTTTCAAAAACGTTTTCTTGCTGTATGTTTGAAAGAGCACATGGGGATTCAACATTGAGGGACACTTCAACTTCTACCTGTTTCGCAAAATCTTTTTCAGCTGAACTATCTATTTGCCTCGGTGGTAGCATTGTTTTTTTCAATTTCTTTAGAAATGCCTAGTGCAGCACCTTTATTACTAAATATGGCCCGTCCTAAAAAAATTTACCTGTAAACCAGTATTAGTCTCCTTTCCTTTTAAAAAATTGCGATTATGAGCCTCATTTTGCAAATCAATTATAGATTGAAATCTCTGCTCGCAAAAGACTATCTGCTCGGAAAAGAAATTTCACAGTATATTACACCGTGTTTACATGTAACAGTTAGCCAGCCCCCAGACCGACCAAAATATTTTTTTAATATTTTGTTTAATGCTGCCCCCTCAGTGCCTTATGATTCCTTAATTCGACTGATTATATCAAGTTTTGATCCTTTGGTACTAACGTTTACTTTTCCCCTTAATTTTTGAACATCAGCCAATTTACTTTCAGAATTTTTTTTTAAAAAAGTCCCCACTTAGTTCTCTACAGTCTGCCTCCATTTCCCCAGATTCCCTATGAACTTTTCGATGTTAGCTGTTCCCAACACCATCGCTGTTTTTTTGAGTTTAGGCCAGTGTATGCAGACCAAAAAGACAATCTTGGTTTAATGATAAATGAATTTACTTTCCTACCAAGGAACACTTTATTTAAAATATTTGACGAGACTCCTTTCCAAAAAACTTCACAATTTACGTAGTCAGTGTTTGCGTCATTTATTTCTGGTAGGTCGTCTTCATAAGATTCATACCTGAAAACAACTCTACGGTTTAAATCAGCCATAAGGATAAATCAGCCAGTTGAACTGGTATATCCTATTACTGAGCGCTTCAAAGTGAGCATAAGAATTTAATACCTTATGTTTGCCTATCTGAGATTTCAACATACCTTCTAGTATATTACTTTTAGTGCCAATGGGAACATGATTACGGGTCACCTCGTGAAGAAACCTGCAATTATCTATTTCTAAAAGGAAAGCATCATCAAAATTGTGGATATCATCCGCATATTCTTGGTATCTATAAAATCGATTACATTTTTTGCACAATTTAAAAAATGACCTTGCATTATTAAAATTTTGGCTTTGTGGGTTATTCTATAAGGCCCTGAAAGACTATAATTGGAGCTAATGCAGAAATTTTCAGCTTCAGTGAAACGGGTATTTGGGAAGGGTTTAAATTTGTCATCCAGTCAGAGAGAGAAAATGGGATCCTTTTGTACTCTTTCATATACTCTATCATTTGTATTAAGGCTTCGTCTGAGTTAGGTGGATATAGAACGGTATCAAAATCGAGACCATCATTTCCCAATTTAAGCCCCCTATTGTCAACTTCATTCATAGAAAGGTCTTTTGGATTGGGAACCTCGTCTTCCACAGGTACATACACATGTATTTTATTTTGGTGAAGATACCTGAGGGCCAAAGCCTTATGCATCCAAAAAAAATTAAGTCGACAAATACAATCAAGCCGGTGCTTTATTTTATCGAACGTTACAATTACCCTAGAACGCACTGGTAAGTCCATATACTTCCCATCAAAATTGATAGATGCAGGTAGTTGCTATCATTCCATTCAACAATGAGAGGTGTGTCTTCCCGCACTAAACATTCCTTGTGCTCAATACATATTTCTATAGTCTCATTTTTCAAAATTTTGAACTCTTCAGATGACCCAAGTTCACAGAGTAAGGTTTCGTCAAGTTCTACAAAGTTAGGTAAGTAGATGCGCACACTCCCTTCCCTTCATGTTAGTTCTTGCGGCTATTAACATTTCCTCCCTGCAACCCAACACCTCACAATCTACAGCTGTGTCTTGTCTGGTATTAAAAATTGTTTGCACATGAATTGTATAACCTTTCCCTCCATGACTTGACTTATGTGTACCATATATATACCCCGTTTACTGTCACAACAGATGGCTGTGTATTCTAAATCAGTTTCGTGCTATGTTTTGCAATGTCTTTTCATATTGTTTGCTGTAATGTACTTACCACACTGATGACAAGGTTCCCGATCCAAAGCTTTTTTTCTTTGTACTTGTTTTGTCTCTATGTGGCGTTCACCGTTGGGTTCAATGGATACCTCCCTATTAAAACTATTTGTAGTTTTTATGGTTTCTTGAATGTTTATAGAGTTTTTTTAGCTTTCATAGATTTCATTTGTGTTTTCTAGCTGGAATGAGATTGTAAATGTTGCGTATGAGAAACCTCCTTTGTTGAATAGTTTTCCCATATACTAGACAATGGTAATGAGCAACTTTACTTTTTATGAGTTCTTTTTCATTGTGCAACAACTTGCATGGCAAAATAGAAAGCGAACCATATTGAACCACTCGTTGAGGTTTCAAGTGGCAGTTTTATCGTTTTCCATCGTTTTCCTAGCAAAGAGCCCTGGAATTTTGAATTTTTCATACGATTCCACTATTTTACGGAATGATTTTCAAAATAGAGCAACACTAATAATGTCCTATCTGCACATAGCCTTACTGCAAAATACTCTTTTAGAGTCTTCTAAAAGCATTAACTGCATAACACAGTGACAGGATTGTGAATATTTTTCAGAGAATGGTAAAAAACTGTTTGAGCTGAGGGCACACTTACGAGATATCCTGGCGGTCTTTCACTTGAAAGCCCAAAAGGCATTTTCAAGCGTTTTCGTTTTTACTAGCATGCTTTCTTGAGCAAAACACTTTAAACGAAGGGGCTTACAATCTTTCATGGTTTCCTTTAATTTTTTTAGCAAAGAGCACTGGAATTTGGAATTTTTCACAAGATTCCGCAATTTGACGGGAAGATTCTCAAAAAAGAGCAACACTTCCCCGTGTCTACAAAAAAAGACCTTGGAAGTATGACATTTGCCTTTGCTTCGCCCAGTGAAAGTCTGCCCGTAGGCCCAAAAAGTTTTACTTTGGGGATTTCTTGTGTGTCTTGACAATTGTCTTGACAATTTTATGTTTTTAGATTGATTATGATTTTGCAAGTTTCAAGCAGAAATGAAATGATTTAGCTTGTTATCTCAACACTCCAGACATTGTTGAACCGAATATTTTTTATTTTTTTTTATTT